GATAGAAAGTCAAGAGAGGCTGTGGTACTTAGTTATGGGGGTATTCGATCATTTTCATATATGTTATAAAATTTGAACAGCTTTTTCCTATACATATAACCGTCGCTCGATCTTCCGAGTTTTCAAAATATTTGCAAAATTTCTTTCATAATATTATATTGGATTCCGTTTATACATACACATCCCTAGAAATCATCACTTATCTGTTAACAACTTTATTTCGAATATTTTGAATCCCTTTTATTATTACAACATTTAATAGATCTTTGACTGAATCTAAATCTATTACCCAAATGAACCATAGTTTTCCATAGATTTCAATGCAACCTCATCGTTTGCCGCTTATCTGTCCGTTCATGTTAGCAATCTACTGAAGAAATACATTTGGTGTCGCATTCTCTCTGGATCGTAAACGGCCCGCTCCGCTCGGCGATGAAAGAAAAATTAGTCCAAACTAAATGGAATTCTAGCCCTAGTCCCTAAAAAATATTTCTTAGTGAATTTTAATGTCTTAAAATATGTTACATAGGTAACAGCTAGATTCAGGATTCAATTTAGATTGAGCTAGCTTTTCTCTGGTTGCCGAGCGTAGGTCCGCTTGCGGCCCAGAGAGAATGCAACAGCGTCATACATTTCTAATATTTCGGAAACTAAGGCCATGCGGCGATTACATATATACGAAAAAAATGTTCAAAACGTCGAATTCTATAATATGTAAGAGTAAGAAAGCTCTGGTTACCGGCGTTAAGGCGATAAAGGGATAAAGGGATAAAGCGATAAAGCGATAAAGCGACCGTCCGCTCGATTTTCGCGACGAGTAGACAAAGTAGAACCACCTTTAAAAGGACAAACCGCGGTGCGACCGAAAGAATATTGTATCGAACCAAGTAAAGTACAGTCGGCCATCGAGTAATAGACTTATTTAACCCAGCCATCTCCTTTTCTTCCCTTACATATGTAAAAATCATCGAAATCGCTGACATCTATCTCTTTCTATGTAATTACCTTAAATATTATCATAGTTTTTAAAGAAATCAATATTTTGCAAAACCCTTGACGTCGCTAAATTTTTTATGAAAATATTATGAAAATGACATTTTTTTCTACACCAAATAATTTTTAAATTCCGTTTTTGAATAAAATCTAGAAATCTAATCAAGTAAATAAGTATATAAAAATCATTTATATGTGACGTTGACTCTCATTTGAAGTCGTTGGTAATGGAAAAGATGTCTCTTAAAAATATTTTATACGATACTGAATATCACTACATAAAATTCATTTGATATTTATAAATTAAATACAGAATTATTTAGAAAACGTTATGTAGAGATAGGGTGTGACAACACGAATAATACTAAAACTATTTATTAATCCTAACAACACGTTTATACTTCGCAACACTAATACACCTTTTTTCACAACTCTCTCTCTGAACTCTCCTATACTACACGTACCGCGACCGACTCCACACCCTCTCTCTCTCTCTCTGTCACTGACTGTGCCCACTCACGCCCTTGCATCCCTATTTAAAACCATCCATTCTATCCTCTTTCATACCTATTCTCTCTTTCCAATCACACTTTCCCACGCATTCCTCGCAATCTCACCCTCAGCGGGTCACTTAGCCAAAACACTCAAACGCATTCCTAAAGCCACTCGATACATTCATAAACGTCCCGTCCACACGATCCTAGCGCACGATCATTCATCCTTTCGCACGCACTCTAGATAACCTGCTCATCCTGCGATACCACAGTTATAATTTTATAAAAAAATTACATTAACACGTTTTAAATATCAATTTCTAGTATTTTAGAAAAACATACGCATTAGTTATTACTATATTTGCATTTATACCATGAAATGTATGTAATTAATTAAAAAATAAATTAAGTAAATATACTTTCTTCTTACGAAACAAAAGCACGACGAGATAAAATAATGTATGATTGATGTTAAAAAAATCTTTCTGTCAAGCACAAAATTTTAACCAGTTCGGATTGCAAAATATTATCGTGAGAAGCTGACTACAATTAATTGCAAAAATTTCCTTCAAACCCACATAAATTAAATATAAATAACAAATTTTCATCATTTAAAATTGCATAAATACAAATTTAGAATAGCTACAAAAATATTATGAAGAAAGCACATGAATTTTGCCAGCATGCACTTTAAAATGCTCTTTACGCGTTGATTTTCTTTCTTTAAAAAAATGTCTAGTAGTTACCTTTTCTTTAAATATTTAAAGACGAATAGACAAATTTTTCGAAAATATTATGTGACGTTTAAATTATTTAAATTTTATTTGACACCCCTGAAGATAATAGTGAATTTCAAATATTATTCAAGATAAAAATTTATTTTATATGTAGTAATCAATTCTTTGACATTACCAAGAAATGCAGCAAATTTTAAAAGAATTGATTGCAATGATTGCAAATGTGATGTGATAAAAATATTTCAACAATATTGATCAAATTTTAATATACATGTTTCGTTGGATAAGTACAATGTTTAATTACTCAAAGCGGAAGAACTAATATTTCTTTTTCACTCTTTTGATAAATAATTTAACGCCACATAGGTAATGATCATTGTCTGTGACAGACTTGTGTTTTTCAATTTTATTACCTACTATTTATTTCGATGCAACTCTTTAACATTAGCTATAATAAAAATGTTTTATAAGATACCATTACTGTAATTTATGAAACATTGAATGGGACATTTCATAACAGATTTGTACCAATTTAATATCACGAATTCTATAAAATTCTCATCGTGACGTTTACTTGATATATGCATCGATATATATGCTTCTAATAGTGAAACGACTTTTATTAACAATTTGTAATATTTCGCTGTAAGATTTTCGCATTTTATACAAATTTAGTATTATTTTTCTCTCTTCATTTGTCGTTTCTTTCGCCTTTCTTGACATTATTACATTTTTTTTACTTTCCCTGTTGCTAAACGACTGAAGTTTAGGATGATTGTTGTTAAAAATGACTAATCGGGGTGTCACCTAACTAGATTTTAAAATGACGATCGGAAATTTTTCAAACAAATGCAGATATACTACATTTAGCATCGTGTGCCAATATTTTTGTCCACCCATAAAATGTTCGATAAATACATTTTTGTTATTGTTTCGTGAATCAATGTATTTATTTTATTACTTCTGCTATGTAATAAAACTAGAATAGATAATAAATGAATATGTCAAGAAGTTTTTCCTTCAAATCAATTTGTTTAGTAGTTATAAGCACTTGAACTACAACAACCATGCTGTGCCAATACTTTTGTCCAGCACTGTATATATTTTCACGGGAAAATTTTTTGTATATATAATTTTAAATGAACACTACTATTATAAATGTATATCTCTATTTCAGTTTTGAAATATAACAGAATATTGATTATATATTTATTAAAATGTAATATATTTATATTATAAATATAACACAAATATACATATTTATGTAATCACAAAAATGTGTAAGTGATAAAAATTCTATAGAAAAGGTCCGATCATTAGTCCGATTTTCAAAAAAGAAGAGAAGAGTAATATGACAAATTACACAGAGGTGCACTATGAGTACTGCATATAAAATATATACATTCACCCTAAATAAGTGAGTAAAGAATGAAACAAAAGATAATTTGGAGGAAAGTCAATTTGGATTCCGAACGGAAAGGGGACAGCAGATGCGATTTATATCGTACACTATATTGTCAACAGAAATGTAGGAAGACAACATGGAAAACTGTTTGCATGTTCCTTAGATTTAAAAGCAGCATTCAATAAAGTGGATAGAGGGTTATTAATGGAAAGACTAAATGAGATAGAAATAAAAGAGAACTTATAGAATAGGATAGCTGAGATCTACGGAGAGACAATAAATATAATAAGAGTAGAAAAAGACAACTGAAAAATTCTGGACACCAAGAAGAGTGAAACAGAGGTGTCCTTAAAGCCCAACATTGTTTAATTGTTTTCTTGTGAGCCTGGAGAAGGAATTGAGAAAAGCGCAAAACGAAGGATAGTAATGGGAAAAGGGAGAATTTAGTTTTTATACTACGCAGACAATACAGTTACTAATGACGATATCAAAAACAGTGTTACAAGATATACTAAAGGAGTCCAACAGATATGTAAATAGGAACGGTCTTACTCTAAGCATAAAAAGAACGAAAATTATAGTTTTTGAAAAAGAAGGAGGAGTAAGAAGAAGAAAGAAAGAAAAAGAATGGAAACAGGGAGGATTCAAAGAATAGAGAAAGAGAAGGAAAGCAAAGATTAGAGATACAAATATTGCAACTCCTACCAGAAAATAAATACAGAGAAGCAACCAAGTGAATAAAAAACAACATTGTAGAAAAAGAGGAGGAAAAGATAAATTATGCAGGCTCTGCAATGAGGAAAGAGAAGGTACAGAACATTTGATAAAGGATTGCGAATCCATGAAATGTTCTTTAAACCTAGAAGAATTGTTTAGAGAAAATGGAGGAAGATTGGATCATGTGAAGATCTTATTGGGGAGAGAAAGAAGTGAAAAGGAAGTTAAAGATAGAGAGAATGAAAAAATTTCATGAAGAGCTATGGAACATGTAAAAGAGTAAATTGTAAAATAAGTTTCAGTTCATGTGTTAGTTTTCTTATTGAGTCTAATTTCTGTTACTATGTAACTACTTCAAATGTAGTACAGAAATCACATATTTGTTCTATTCTAGAGAGCATATTATATTATGTTATTATTATAAGGGAATACTGTAATCCGGAAGTCATCCGAAACCGAAAGATACAGGTTAAACAAAAGTTAAAATAAGAAAACAAAAATTCTCCGCTATCATAATTTAAAAAACATGAAAAAAGCTAAAGGCAACCTATCAGGATGACATAGTATCTCTTACTATAACTATGATGTAAAGAATTTTAGTATTAAAATTGTCAAATCAGTAAAACAATGATTTCGATTAAGAACCGATGTGAAGTAATTTTTAAAAAATTATTTGGTACTTATTGTTATTATATGTCGAAATTAATGATAGAATAATGAAAATATTTCTTAAACATTGAAAAACTCAAACATTAAATATAAAAATATTAGAATATATTAAAATATATTAGATAAATTACATTTTAAATACTCATAATGATATGAAAATATCTTCTTGAACTAGTATTAAGTGTAGTATTTTTATTCCATATAGATTAAAGAATAAACTATTTTTTAATTAAACTTTGAATCCTACGAAAGTTCAATTTCTTTTAGATAATTTTCATTTTTTCAATATTAATTTCGAAATATAATAACATTTCGATATTTTAATGTATCAAATATTTCTTTTAGAAGTACTTCGTAGAGAAGTTTCATAAAAATCAGCAATTTATACCTAAAAATTTTACTAAATATATAAAAAAAATAAATAAATGTTAATTGAAATCAAATCGTTATTATATTATTTTTAAGTAAATTATTTTTTTACTAAATACATAATATAATATATGTAATGCAATTTATTCTTACCAAGATCAGCATATTTTACTTTGCAAAAAGCGCGACGACCTCCAAAACATAAATCATATCTAGGTAAACTGGGATCATCATTACCGTGTTCTACAGCTTCATAGGCGTCATTTTTGTAAGCAAAAGTTACAAAACCATAGTTATCGCTAAAATATAAAAAATAATGTAAATCTATTACATTCTAATGAGAATAATGAAAAATAGTGAAATATAAAAAAATTACCCATGTTCACGGAAATGTATACTAATATCTACTACAGGACCGAAAGTTTCGAATCTTCTACGTAAATCAGCTTTAGTGATTCCTTCATCCAAGCGTCCAACATAAATTACTCTTCGCTCTTCTACTTGTCTTTGCTTTTCTCGATCATACCAATTATCATAAGGTCGTCGATATAATGTTGTTGGTGATCTAATATAAATAAAAATACAAAAATGAAGTTTAACAAATAAATTAACATAAGAAGATTATAATCTCATGAACCTTTTTTATTCAAGACCGCGTTTGAATTGAAAGAAGGATATGAACTACAATTAAACTATGATATAACTATATCGAATTAGTCATCCCTGTAAAAAAGTTAAAACTAAATGAAACTTTTTTCATGATTTTCTTTTTTTGTCATTCGATAGAATATAATATAAAATATTAAACAAAATATGTAATAAAAAGTGAATAAACGATAAAATATGAAATAAATTATTTTATCATTTAATTTATAGTTTGAGCAAAAAAAATAAATTCATAATTTTATAGTTTTAAAAAATTTGTTGTGTAAATGTATATGTTTATAGAATCTTATAGAATACTTATTGTTATAAATAAACCATGGATCAATTATAAGTTTTGATTACTCGTCTTTACTGTTGAATTTTTTTTAAATAACTGTAGAATTTTATAAATGTATATAAATATTATAAGAAATCATAATACTTCATAATATAAATATAGGAAGAGCTAACAGAATTTATCAATTTGTTGAAAATTAGAAAATTACAGAAAGAATAACTTTTTTAAACAAAAAATACTTGGTGAAAATAATGCCACAATATAATTAATTTTTGTACAGATACATCACAAGTAAAGTCAATCGTAAAATATAATCATCCCCCTTTGTTTTTAACGTATATCTTCATACTTACTTGCTAATAACAATTCTTGACGCTAATAACTTTAAGAAAATTTAATTATATTCAAGTCAAATTTTTAAGAAGTAAAAAATATTCATTTACATTTATTGAATGAAAGTTTGTCAACTTTTAATCATTATTTGCTATTACGAATAATAATGTTAAAAATAGACACATGAAATACATTTTTCATAACACAGACAAAAACAAAATATCCTAGTTTTGTACTATATTTTGAACAATACAACTTTGAAGCTTCAATGATGTAGCTTTGTTCGTAATACTTGTTTGTTCATAATCCTTTTGCTCCCAGAATTAATTAAATACTAGATGAAGTTTAAGATTAATTTTGACTATCAGTTTTCCCCCTGTCTAGCAATTTGAAAATCAGAATTTTAGATAGCTTCTCAAACCATTCAATTATTTATTTATATATTCATATTTTATTTTAATAATTCTGTAATTTTATTTGCAGATATTTCTTTGCCATTGTTAATATAATATACAATTTTTCATTTATTTTCTAATGTTAATATATTGTTATACTTGATATTATAGATAAAATGGAAACATATGATATTTTATGTAAATATATCATTATTCATCCTACATAACTTATTAATTACAAAAATAAACAGTAACGTACATACAAACATTGTTATTAATAATTCAGTTATGTTCTTTATTATACAAATGAAAATAAATTTGATTATAATATACTATAATTATTAAAACTAAAAAACAGAATTCTATCCAATAGTTCAGTTTAAAAAATTCTTACAAAAAGACCAAGTTATAAACAAAATTACGAAATTTTTCCTGGAAATCTTCACTATGAAAAAATGACTTCTTAAATTAAAAGCATGAAAGACCTTATTTTTTCCCTCAAAATTAAGAATTTTACGATAATAATATATAAGGACATTATCTGATATTCTAGTTTATATGAAAGAATTCCCACAATGAATTCCCACAATGAATTAAAAATTTTTAATTTTCAGTTTCCATTTAAATTTACTTTAAAATAAAATAACATAATAAAGATTGACCCTTACAGTATGAAACTAACTTCATTCAAAAGCAGCATGTATTAAATCACAATATTAAATCACAGTATTAAATCACAGTAAATCACATTTTTTTATAAAGAAAAACATAGCAGTGTAACTGATGCAATAATTAATTCAGTTATAAGCTCCTACATTTTCAAGTTTTAAAAACGTTATAAGTACAAATTGCTTACCTTCTCCAATCTCTGTAGCCATGATAGTTGACCATAGAATGGTGCCTATGTCTATCGTATGTTTTGTATCTTCCATCGCGTCTTCTTCTTCTTGACCATTTACTCCTGCCGAAATTTGAATGAAATGAAGACCTATAAATATTTTTACAGCCCTTCTAAGTTGTAAAATTGATTATTTGTTTTATTAAAATTTGAAATAATTTTGTTAGAAATCAGTTTTATAACTATGTACCTAGAACAACTAGAATATTGAGAGGATGATCGAGATCTTGATCTAGACGATCTAGAACGTGATCGTGAATATCTTGATCCTGAACTAAAAGTAGATCTCGTATCCGAACGTGAACGAGAACGAAAATGTGTACGTGAACGCGAATGCGAACGTGAACGGGAACGGGATGACCAACTACTACTTGAGCTAACAGAACTACGCCGATGACTTATTCTTCGATGACGTGTATTACTGCGTTTACGAGATCTACTTCGATTACTACTACTTCTGCTTCTGCTTCTACTCTTGCTTTTACTTTTACTTCTTGATCTAGATCGACTTGAGTCAGAATTAATTCCATGTTTTTTACAAGATCGTTGATTGATATCACGTACATTATTATCCCTGAAAATTATACAATTTTAAGAAATGTTATTTTTCATAAATATTTATCTAATTTGAGAAAACTAATGAATTTCTTCCTACAAAATTCTTATATTTAAAAGGATTCAAACCATAAGTAAAATTTTTTACAACACATCTATCCTTTAAATATATATTTTTTTTACTGAATAATTTTGTATATCTTTTAATTATATTGATTGTAAAACATAAAAATGTGCACAATGTATAATTAAATATGATATTAACCAATATTTTTTGTTTTAATATATGAAAAATATTTGTCCTATTCAAACATAAGAAATATCAAATTGAATACAAATATGTTTTAAGTTTTAACACAATGTAAAAATTAAATTAAACCAAAAAATAAAGTAAATAATTTTATAAGTAATAATCTACATTATACATTATATATTGTCCATACAATAATATAAAGTGTTAAAATAATTATAGTCTACATAATTTTTCTATGCATCTCAAGAAAATTAAATAGAAAATAAGAAATACTAAAATGGAAAATAATTTTAAGTAAAAATATAAAGAGTAAAACATACGTATCTTTTGTAACTATTTTAAATGAAATAACAATTAATATAAAATAAAATAGGATAGATATATTTTTTTTTTATTTAAAACCAATGATTGTAGAAATAAATTAATAAAAATTTACTTGTTTTTAAACTAAATATAACAACAAAACCATTTTTTCCAAACTAATAAAAGTTTTGAATCCCTTTAAAAAATATACAAAACATTCTAGCATAAATATAATATCTACACATCGTCTCTGTTTTTAATAATATTGATAATATTCAAAAAATAGTATAAATGGTTCCAAAGAAAATTTGTATAGAATCAAATCTTTTCAAGATTATATCTTTTTTGCAAGGAAACATATATATTTTTCATCATATTTTAATATGAATTTTAAAATATATTTAAGCATAAAATATTCAAATATATTTATATTATTATATTGAAAATATCTTAAACATAAAAAAAGTGATTAAATTCCAAAATAGTATTTCATTGACTATAAACATTATCCTTTAGCATTCATAACATGAAAATACCAAGTTTACATACCAATCTTACACATACACTTAAAATTTAATTATATTTTTATTTAATTGCAAAGGAAGATAAAAAAAAAGTACAAGCTAAATATTGTGGCAAAATATTACTAGTAAAAATATAAAAATTAAAAAAAATTACAATATCCCAAATTATTTACAAAACAATCCTAAATGAAACTATTTTTTAAAAAGTTTATATTTATTAGAAATGCATCTGACTTTAAATAAATAGATAAGAAGAAATGATATTTCAATATCACAACTGAGATATATTTGAATACATTTCTACATTTATTAGAATTTGTCATAAAAAAAGATATGTGCTTTTTTACAACAGGATTATTAGTAATGTCAGAAAAAGAATAGGCAATAAAAATAAAGAAAGATAATCATAAATAAATTTCTCTTCCTACAATATTTCTCTTCTAAAGACAAATTGTGCTTTAAACATTTTTCATATTATTAAAAGTAATAGAGATAGACAATATATTATTGCATAATATAGTGTATAATATATATAGTATATAATGTAATATATTTTTATATTTTTTACCTTTGTTGCTTGTGTCTTTCATCAACATCAATTAAAGACTTTGGGGGAAATTCAAATACTGTTTCATAAGTTTGAATTCCTATGTCACAAGTAGTTGGTTTTGGACGAACTTTTTTCTCATCTACATCTACTTTTGGTTTTAAAACTGATACAATTTCTCTCTCTGACCAAATCAAGTTTTTAGGATCATCCTTAATAGGCTCAGTTGTGGTAGAAGCATGATGAACATATATTAGCGTCATAGGTTGTAGTGGTGAATTTGTTCTACTATTATCACTACGATTCTGCTCTCTTCTACTTCTATATTCTGCTAAATTCAATTTTTTACGGGGAGGTTTTTTTTCTTCTTGTTGTATAAATGTCTTTTCACTATCTTGAACAATAATATTCTGTACTTTATCATTTAAACTATTAGTAGTAGTTACTATATTCTCATTAGGTGCAGTTTTTAAACTAGGTACTTGGTGAATATTAAGTGGCTTCTTTAATACAGAAACCATTTGTTTCATTCTTTGATTTCCTACTTTTATAGATTTTGTTTTACTTAAAACGCCTTGTCGTAATTGTAGAATATTTGTTGCCAGAGCTGAATGTATTTTCATCTGAGGTATTGTAGTAGGCACATTCTGACTTTGTGAAATAACACAATTTGAAGTGCTGCTTAAAATATTATGACAATTTCCTTGATTTGCTAAAGCTTCCTTTTTACAATCCTTTGTTTTATTTTGTAACTGTTTTATAGATTTGTTAACTTGAATGTCACTAGTTATTGTAATTCCTAATTGTTCTTCACTGTTATCACTTACTTCACCTGATTCAAAACCACTATCTTTCTTTGAATTACTTTCAATCGAATACTCTCTACTTTTTATAAGACTTCTATTCAAATGCACTGAAAATGATTGTTTTTCGTATGTTGTGTAATAATGCGATGATTGCTGACTGTCATTCTTAACAAAAGTCACTTTTTCACTGTCACTAGATTGTCTTTCATACTCACTGTTACTGTCTGAACTACTATTGGAGGAATTAGTACTACAATAATCATGATCCAATTGAACTAGTCCACCATCGATCGTCTTATTGTTAGTGTTATTTGTCACCTAATACAATACAATAATCATATTATATTACTAATAATAATAATAATAATAATAATAATAATAATAATAATAGCAACAGTATAAAAAAAATATATATATATAAATGAAATGTATCCTAAAATAAAAGTATCATAAATCAGCTTGAAGTATTATTCTAATATCTAACCCAAATCCTAACATCTAACACCTCAAAAAAAATTTTCGATATTGAATTTTCATTATATCACTGTTTTAAATATATTGATAATCTAAATGTATTTCTTTACACATTAAAGGTATAAAGATGAATATTATAAATTATTTATACTTAACTATTTTTAAAAGCTTATTTCGGAAAAGTGATGCAGCAGCATCTTGCATACGTGTCCCATTACTGCGACCATTACTTTGAATATTAGGCATTGCTGGTATTACTGAAATCACCTTTTTACGTGCAGATGTCTAATATAATATGACACAATGTCATGAATTTTGTCTTCATTTTTATTCCGAATATTGATTCCTTGTTATGCTAATTAATTACATAATTACCTTTATGTTTTCAATCACTTCTTTGGGTAGAGCATCTCTAATATTTTTATGTAGATTTGAAGTTTGAGACTGTTTCATACATTCTTCGGCTTCATTAGACTTCGTAGGTGAATCCAGCTCACATTCTATATTCATTCTAGCAGATGGGTAAGTTGATACTAAAGTATTCTCAGAAGCTTCAAATTGTTCTAGTAAACTTTTAACATCTCCAGCTTCCAGAACTATGATAAAAAGACAATGATTTATGGATAACTATCATAAATAAAAATTCATATACATAAATTTAATCATTTAAATATACCTGGTAATTGATTTGCAGATTTATTATCTTCATCATCATTTTGTTTATCTTTATTGTGCTGCAAGCATTTTTCTTTTTTTTTCTTTTTTTGCTTTGCTAATAAATTTGCACTTGTATCGATTCCTATACTATCATATTTATGTATATTCTTTTTTAACTTACTTTGGTTTTTTGAATGTTTGGGTTCTATTAATAATGATTTAACTTCTGTTTCTATTTTTTTATTATCGCTTTCCATAAAATTGCCAGTTATATGATATGAATTATCTTCTGTGGTATATTCTGTAAAACATAACTTTATATTACAATAAATATAGTTATTAATTAACTATAAAATGTATTACGTTAAATTAAATGAATAAATGCCTTTATTAGTGCTTTTTAAATTTGATATACTCTGATTAATATGAAGAGATTCTTTTCCTAACTCCTCTTGTTTCATTATAAGAAAATTAGATTCTAAAGTATGCACTGCTTGTTCATCCTGAAGTATACTTTCTGTGGTACAAAAATTCCTTTTATCTGTACCATTCATGCTTAATCCTATAATATCCATATATTCATCCATGTCTGAAGCCTAAAAAAGAATTAGATGTGACAAGTTAATTCTTTAAACATTTATAAATCTAATGAACCAAAAAATTAACAGAACCTGTAAATAACCAATGTGTTCCTGCCAATCTGTAAGAACTTTTGCAAAATCTTCCTTAATACTATCAATTTTAGATATTGTAGAAATTTCCGAAACTGACATTTCATCCACACTCTCATTATGTCTGAAATTATATAATGTTTATTAATTAAGTTTTTAATTTATAATGTGTAGTAAGACAAAAATTTTACTTACTCATTTTCATTATGCCACAAGTTACCAGCATTTGTAATGTCAAGATGTGTTTCCATATAATCAAAGTCATTCTCAACCATGTGCATCAATAAATCTTGAGGTTTTTCCACTAAGTTCTATTAAAACATGACTTTATATATTTGTTTTACATACATTAAAAATTTTAGAACAAATATTTATATTTGAATTTAATACTAATGTTAATAACTTTAAATTTACGATATGTACAAGATTAATTTAATATTTATAGAATTTACAAGAAAATGAATTATAAACTTAAAATTAATAGATGTACTAAAGAATAAATTTTTATTATATTACTTAACAGTTTTATTACTTTATGTGTTTCATGTAAAGTACCAGACCATAACAAACTTTTAAATAAACGTTAAGGAAATTTGGATATTTCAACTTTTAAACATACTTAATAAAAATATATCAGATTATAAATAAAAATATTATCTGTAAAATCTTTCTTACATAAAACATTTTTTGCCTCTTTATATAGCTATTTATCTTCCAAAATTCAGCTAATATTAATTAATCAAACATAATGGTAATATATTAATCTGTACAATTCATCTATTAAATTAAATTACAAGCAATATAAAATGTAATGCATAAATTATAAAACACTATATGAATGCTTTCAAAATATTTATATTGACTTTAATAATATTGAAATGAAAATTTTAATATAATTGTTAGAAATTTTTAATAACACTTTTAATATATTACCATTAATTATTAATGCTAATACCAATACTCATAAAATAATAATATAAATCTTTCTTCTTAAAATTCAAATACATGATTATACAGATATTCATTAGTTTTTAAAAATTTAATAAATTTATTACCTGTTCCAAAGACAATGAGAAGTCAGAAAACTGTTCTTCATCATGGAAATTCAAAAATCCAGTTTCCATGACACAATTTTAAACAATACACTAAACACTTATTTTGTAACACTAATCTGTAAATAAAACATTAAGAGATGTAACAAATAATATTCTTAATATAATAACTAAACAACCACGCGTTTATTTGAGGTTACATTCGAAACAAAGGTAGTGTGACTCGAATTTTGATGTACATGTATTAAGATAAATGTATAAACTAATGTTGTTGTCCATTTTAAATTAAATATCGACAGTCATTAATGATTCAATTTCATAGTATAAAATTTGAAATTTACAATTAATTACCTTTTATACACGTAAAAATATTAACAATCGACAAGCATCGGATTGTCGAACGAAGTAATACATAATCCTATGTGAACAATGTAAATACAGATATTATAAAATTATAATTACCTATATAATACAGAATAATTTTTTAATAAAAATTTAATTTATGATGTCTCTGATGCTATACTATCATTCCGTTTTAACTATGTTATGAGTTTCTTTGTTAGGTTCGAATCACGCTTGTTCCACGCGCGTACGTATATATGACATGGCACACACATCATAAGCGCACGTGTACCCAACGCGAGTATAAAGCATACGGAGATACATAAAACGCCACGCCTCTTTATTACTGATAAACTAATAAAAGTCAATTTAAAATTATAACAAATCACTACTGGCACTTTTTAGTTTAGTATAAAATAAATGGTAACTATAAAACACTTTTACAAACGTTATTTTTATATAATACATACAGTATGAACAGCGTGTCTTAACTACACTGCCTACCAATCAGTAGATAACTATCTATGTACATATGAAACTTTCGTATATGAGTAATATATATTTATTTATTTAATATGACATACTATAAAGGATTATAAAGTATATACATTTACAATTTTATACTTACTAAAAAAGAAAAGTTGTTATATCACACGTGTCCGATACGGTACATACATACTCCTCCCGGTTTGATTAACATGCGCATAAGCACGTTTATACATAGATACTGCATATGACATACGTATCTTTGGCATTAGTATTTTATACAAATATAAAACTATATAATTATAATGTAATATTACTTTTTTTCTTCGATATAGAAATAAATCATAAAATATAAAATGTATTTTAAATAAAGTGGCAGTACTGTAATGTAGAAGATGACAATAAAGTAAGCATGCAATTAATTTTTTATAACATTGCATATAAATATACTTTCTTGATTGAAATATGCATTTAAATAATATTGAAGAATATGTTACATCATAAAAAATATGCAAACATAAATTATTGAAAATTTATATCTACATGAAATGGATGTAAATGTAAAAGCAATGATTATTATTACTGACATAATTTTTTAATAATATAAGATATAACTAAACATTCATATTTTTAAAGTAATTCAACTTTTTTGAAATATAAAATTATGAAATCACATATAATATCATCTCTATTGTGATTAAAGTGTATAATACATAAACTATAGAAAATAACCCAAATTGTTCTTCTTTCTGCTATTAAATTTATATTTACTTTTATACAAAAATTTGAATTAATGTTATATTTTGCAAGTATTATTTAAATAATACTGTTTATTTCCAATTTTGCTTAAAAGAACATGATAATTAATGTCAAACTTTAATTTTTATATTAAATAAATTATATAAAACAACATAAAGCAGGAACTTAAAAATTTAAAATAAAATTATGTAAGATATAATGGGGTAATTAACATTAATTGATAGCTATATCATTAACTATATTATTCATTTAGATGCAATAATTTTATCAATAATTTAATTATAATAATAATAATAGATTATACAGTAAGTATATATAAAATAATATTGTACATGTAACTTGAAATTTTTAAATGTTTGATACTTTTTAGTCAGTATATTTGTAACAATAATTATTATTATTTATTTTAAAAGTTTAATTCAAATTAAATTTATTTATTAATTATGTTAATAAGTTTCTGTTATTATTAGTCTTTTAACTACTTAATAACTTTCAATTTTTCTCTTGATATTTTCCTCAATATTAAAAAAACATAGATATAATCATTTAGTTTTAGTAAATATGTAGTGATTGTAACTCAATAATTAATTATTTTTTGTCTTCATCTATGAAGTGTCCGCTTTTTTCTTTTTTTTTTTTTTTTCATGTTTTTGAGTATTTTTTTGTATTATTATTACTGTACTATTATGTTTTAACATGAAATAATTTTGACAATTTATGATAATTTATTCGCCAGTTTTTCTTTTGAAATAACTTTAATCAATCCTAATTCTTTTATAGATAAGAAAAGTCCAATTATAGAGAAGATTAAAAATAAATCACTATCGTCGAATACATTCTTTTTAGTATATATTAACAATTTCAGCCGACTATCATTATTATTATAATCAAATTTATAGAAGTGACTGTAAAAATGTAGTCTAAATTTCTGTATATAACACAAAATTATATAATTTTAATAGCACTTAACCATTGTCAAAAAACAATTTTGAATTTTATTCTTTAATTTAATAAACAAATATGTCATGTTGCAAAAGAAAAGAAGAAATTGAACTATACATTGATAACAATAACTGTGGTTAGTTTATTAATAATAAACATTTCTAATTAATAATGCTTGAAACCTTTTTCAACATAATATCAAATTAACATATTATAAGATAAATATATGCTAGATAATATATATAATTTAATTGAAATTGTTTAAAAATATATAGGTAATATTACATATATTATGGGATGTATTTACAAGGCAATCATATATGTATGTTTAAATTATTCCAATGTTGTCCTGTATTATAGTATAATTTTAAAAAAGAGATTAAAGAATTATTAATTAATAATATTAAAATTCTGTATTAGTTTTCCAATCAATGGTCGTTTTATTTTATGAATTTATTTAATAATGAATTATTGACTATTTTTATTTATTAAGATAATAAATCGTTCAATTCTTATTAAATTTTCCAAAGTAAACTTAATACAGATTAAGTATATTGCAAATGGAAATTCGTGATGTATAATATGTATTAAATTGAATATATTTTTTATATAATTGAATGAATATTTCATATATACTAAACATTCTTTCTTAGAAAAATTTATTATTTACTTTTATAATTACATAAATACATATGAGAGTATTTATAAGCATAATATTTATAAACATAATTTTTAGACGATAAGTTCAAATTAAGTGAATAAAATATATACAATTGAAGTACATAGTTTAAATTAGATTATTAAAAGTAAATAAAATTTTATTTCATTTGATTTTTTATAAAATAATCTATATATTTAATTTGTAATAAAATTTAAAGTTATAGAAGATGAATTTATTACACTATTTCATTTTTCAAACTGTCTATTTTGATGACGTGGGTTTATTACCCTTGTTGTTTTATATTTAAATCTTAAAAACTATATGAATTATTATTTAAATAAAATGTTAGTAAAAGTACATTTAATTCAATATGTTTATAAATTTAATGTTTGATTTAATATATATATAAATGAAATTAAAGTAATATTTGTAAAAGAAATCGAAACTATAATTTAAACATACTAAATGAGTGTAAATTATGTATTTTATTAATAATATACATTAATATGTTATATATGTATCAATTTATTATATGATTGCAAAATAAATTTGCTGTTTTGTTTTCCAACATAATATTTATACTACTGTTATGAAACTGATATGTAAGTATAGTTTATAATAATTCAATTTTTAATATAGTGAAATATGATAATATTCATGTGAAAAGAGGTCCCATACTTGATTCTCACTTTTGTTTATGTCGAAATAATGAAGGATGTTTCATTCCTCCGGATTGTAACATACTACAATCCACTGATATTGATACAATAAGTACATGCTTAGAACCTTGCCAATGTGCCGAAGAAATGGAATGGAATTGTTGGACTCCTCCTAGACCAAGTTGTAAATGGTTAAGTAACTTTTGTGAGTTACGTCGCCAATGGAGTAATCATGCTCGCCAACAAACTTGTAGATGTTGTAATTGTAAACAACGGTAAGAATACATTATTTAAAATTTAATATTTAAAGAATTTAAAATATTTTTTACCTAAGTGCAACCAAAATTTAATATAGTGTAACATTTTATTATAGAATTAATTTTATAAAAATTATAATTATAAAAATTATAATGTTTCTAAATAGGTTTCATATGACTATAGAATAGTAATCATATAACTGCTGTATGCTTTTTGCATTAAACAGCTTTGTTAATTATATATTGTTGCTCATAGTTACTATAAATTCAATGAATATCATTTTTAAAACTTAAATTCTATTATAGTCAATGGTGAGTATTTTATTATCTGTAAGCTATAGCATTTCATTTAAAATAGTCAAATATCTAGAAATCAAGTCAACTTTTTAAATTGGAAATTTATAGTTTTTCAATGGGTCCTTAAACTCTATAAAGAAGTAGTAACTTTCATCTGAAATGTTTTCTTATGTAATATATACTTTTAAAATCCATGACATTTCAATAACTTAGAAATAATCTATTGTTTTAACATACAAATGTTCAAACAGGTACTTTTGATATTTTTGACAAAAATTGATATCTGTTATCAATATTTAGTACGTTGATATTTATTTATTTATTGATATTTAGTGTGTTCCAGAAAATAAATGGATGAAAAAAGTTCATACAAATTCATTCAAAAATGATTTGTTGATTATAATAAATACAAAAATATCAATTAGATATCTATTAAATAAAGTTGCAACATGCTTCTTGCTTTCATAACCATATATAGCTACTGATTAATAAATAAACAATTATTATCATTGTCAATTACTATAACTCATTTTTATAAAGTTTCAATTATTATACATAATATTACAAAGAATAGGAAATTTCCTAACAAGATGGGAAACAAATTTCTGAAAATTAAACATAGAATTTTACTTAATTTAACTTTTCACTTACTAACTTATTAAGATAGAATATTTAGCATTCTATAACACACTATCGGGTAATTACTAATGATTTTTGTTCATATATCGATGAAAAGTTATGGAAATATTGTATATGGAAATTTATGATGGTAATATGGATTATTATTAATATTATTTCTCTATATATGACTGTTATAAAAGTTAAATATTAGATATTGCATAAATAACAAATCTTCAACGAAAAGGATTTTGAAAAGGAATTATGGAACTATCAGTTTTAAAAAACATAAATGGGTAAAGAGCATGTTTGTTTGGTTTATCACATGACAATAATTTATATTGTTCAAGGATCCTAATATTCAGATATGTTAATCAATAAAGTTCCATGAAAATGAGAAATATTTTATTCTTTATAATTCTTTTTTATAATTCGCATTTCATAATATGCAATTCATATGTGGATTTACGAGAACTTTTTTTACCTAGAATAGCAGGCAAAAGTATCAGTATGATACACAATACAATATATAAACATTTAGAACTATTAAAATAATTGATTACATCATGCTTTTTGTATTGATCTTTAGTGACAATATTTCACTTGTTTATGTACAAAAACAGAACTATATCAACAAAATAGTAAACACATAATTAATAAAATAATATTTTGTAATCAGAGGTACAAAATCAAAAATCTTTATACATTTTATTTATAAGGATATTAATGCTATAGTTGTTGAAATAAATGTAGGATATCTGAATAATTATTTTAATTTGATCTTGTATAAATTGATCTTATATTATACTTTATTCAATGAGAACTGACAGCAAATATAAACAGCTACATGTGAGTGACGTGTGATTATAACAGGACTGAAACAGATTTTTCTAATGCTTATACATTAGAAAAGAAGAAGCTGGCTCCCATGTAAAGACCTTCAACGTGGGATCTTTAAAGTTTGTTCCAAAAAATCAACATTTGGCGGTAACTCATATGGAGCTGCAGCTGTAGCACTGATCATGTGAACGCTTTGTTTACATTTCCTGCCTTTCCTCGTTGAACAGAGTATAATGTAACAATTTAACGAATAATTTGTAAGAATACCTTACAAATGTTAAGAAAAGGCAGAGAAACTACACACAAAAAAAGAAAAATTGTATCGAATTTATATTAACTAATTCTAAGTAAATCTCATGCAGAAATTGGGGAAATAGTACAGAGAATTTATTTTACCACTTACAATATTAAAAAATTTACAAATATATTAAAGACTATAAATCATTTATGGAAGAAAAAAATTTTCCTATGAAAATTGATTTATACGATTAAAAATAGTCAGAAATTATTTGAAATTTGAAATTGCAATATTAGTTAATACAAGATTACACTGTCCAATATGAATTTTGGTCTGTAATATTCATTGGGTATTTTTCATTTGGGTCAAACCGTAATTTTTGTAAAAACATACAATTTTTTACTAAAACAAGATCTTAAATAAAAATTAAAATCATTAAAAGGTTCATTCTTATTTTGAAAGTTAAATGAGAATTCCATGAATTTAACAATATCTATAATTATATGAAATATAAAAATTTGTGATTCTGAATAATTGTAATTGGACATCATAGTTGAAAACTGAAACGCCAAGCGTACTTTCAACGAAATGTAACGAAATTGCCAAAGTAATTTTTAATTCGATCAATTTGAGTAAATATTCGTCGATAATATGTATAGGCCGTCGATAATATGTTTTACCGCCATGCTGTTATCGCTCGCTTATGTGACTTGGTAGTATTGTAGCTATGCGTCATCGACGTCGATAATACAGAAAATATCCACACCCAACTTTATATATGATTAATTTTTTCATATATTCTTGGATATTAAACATCAAAGAATTCTTCACGTTCGCTCTTAAATAATTTCATTGTAATATACAATTGCATTTGTTTTTTGACAACATCGTATTAAGAAGTCATCCGTGTTTGTATATTGAATATAGAAATTATGGAAGATTGCAAGTGATGGAGAAAAGTTTTTTATAATTTTGCAATTAATATAATAAAGTAGATGAAAATGTATACATGTTAGCCAGATAAGAAATGGGTAATGGAAATAATGGCTGCGTGGCAGTAAAACACTATATATATGTTATCGACGAATATTTTTTTCGAACTAATCGAATTGAAAATTGCTTGGGTAATTTGGCTGTGTGATTTCTTCTTCAGAAACGTCTATAGAATAGGATAGTATGTAGCAAATTCTTGTTGGATACAGAACTTTTTTCAAATATTGTTCCGTCCCGGAGAGCGTGTTTATAACATAATTTTATTCTAAGGCTTACACTTTTGCCAGACCTAACGGTCTATTTTATATTTTATACCGCGACTGCAATTCCGGAGGTTCGATGTGCCTCAACGCCGTTCTAGCGGATTAAGCGTACAAAGGTAAAGCGAAATTTAGGTATTTTACTAGAAACCAGACGCGACAGATGGGACCCACTTGTGACAGACCCAACAAGCGACGGACGGACGACACTTATAAATCACGTCATCGACCATCAGAAATTGGCTCCTTGACAGTTTCCTACTCCTTAGCCAAAGGTCCTTATGTTACACCCTCTGTCCAATTAAAACTCTTTACCTTTCCACCACCAACATGTATTTTACCCAATCATTACTAAACTAGAGAAAACACCGGACCGAACACGACGAGACAGGACATAGAGCAAAATCGAGAAGTCAGTTCGTCTTCGGCACCAATGCTTCAAACATCTAAATTGCACATACAAACGCGTGTTCGAAACGGTACTCCGTTAACGTTTACATTATAAATATTCTACACTTTTCTCTAAATAAACACTCTCTTTGACCACACATGATCTGGATCTTTATTATTTCAACTAGTCACGCAATATTAAATTGACGCGTGATAAGCGTTCTTGGAAATCGAAGGGATTCGATACCGTAGGACGCTACAAAAATGTAAGAAAAACGACGTAGAAAGTATGCTTAGCGACTTATTTTTTAAATTCGGGAAGTACTCATCTAACTTGTAAGATAAGAATGAATTTTCTAATGTTTTTAGTTTTCATTTAATAGCTTATTTTAATATTTATAAAAATACGTGTTCTTCAAAAACTAAGGGTGACCGAGCAATTTTGTTTGCAAATACTAGTTCAGGAAGGTAAACTCTATAAGAATCATCCAATGGATATTATAGATTAGAGAAAAAGTTGAAATTTGTTAGACAGTGTTATAAAAATAAAATTATATCGAAAACGATAATTAGAACCTAAAAAAAATTGTCGAAAGCTATTATTACATTCTATTCTTAGATAAAAGTAAATTAAAGATATTCAAATTGGTTAGTCGAATATTAGTATGGTTATTAGTGGAATATTAGTATGTGTATATATATATATATATATATATGGTATCCCAGCAACTGAAAATAAAGAGTAAAATTTTTTTATTCGGAGCTTCATTGTCGAGAAAATCGAATATTCGGTGAATATTCAAAGTCAATTTTCTCGACAACGAAATTTGGAATGAAAAAATTTAATTCTTTATTTTCGATCTGTTTCTTCATGTAGAATCACCCCCTCCTCGATTGTACCACCGATACTCATGTATCGATGATCTATTCATATAAGCCATAGCTAAGTGCACGTGCACTGGGTAAATATGCAAAGTCGATTTTTTCGAAAACGAAGTTTTGAATAACGAAATTTTATTCCTTTTTTCGATTCGTTTCTGCATATAAAATCACTCCCTTTCCTATTGTATTACTTTTGCTGGCACATCCTGTATAGAAAAAAATATATATAAAAGATAAGAGAAAAAAATTTTAAACGACTCTCTTCACGACTTTTTTCGATTTCTGGCTAACAAGTTTCATATAGCACTCCTCTTTCGAAAGGATCGTTTCTCGCTTTTTCTAATTTGTCCCTAAATTATCCTTAAAAATTACCCTCACCCGTACGATTGCCGAAAATATTGAAAATTCATCGGTGGACTGTTTTCCCGATGAGTCTGGTTTTCGTTTTGTTCACACACCTTCACTCCCTTTTTCTTTTATGGCCTTTTTCCGTCTATGGT